GAGTTTATTCCAGCCTGGAGCACTTGGAGCCCTGCTCTCAGAGTTTATTCCAGCCTGGAGCCCTGCCCTTGCAGTTTATTCCAACCTGGAGCACCTGGAGCCCTGTCCTTGGAAATAATTCCAGCCTGGAGCCACTCAAGCCCTGCTCTCAGAGTTTATTCCAGGCTGGAACACCAAGAGCCCTGCTCTCAGAGTTTATTCCAGCCTGGAACCACTGGAGCCCTGTCCTTGGAGTTTATTCCAGCCTGGAGCCCTGCTCTCAGAGTTTATTCCAGCCTGGAATTCAGTCTCAAGGCCCAAATACTCAGAGATTTTCCCAAAGAGTTTGAGTGCCCAGCACCTTCCAGCTGCCACTGAAGCGACTCCAACCAGCAGCGTAACATGGAGTTAATTAAACACTTTATTAATCAGCCAAGCACTTCCACGACCTCTGGGCACCACCCACCTGGATAAGACTCTTGTCTCACACAAAAGAGCCTCTGTAGTGCCSAGTGTCTATCAACTGCAGGGACCTCAGGCAATGTTTGTTGAGCAGAGTTAAAGTTCACATGGCAGAGCTCCTGTAGGGAAATCCATCCACGTTCGGTGGGAATGCAGTATCCCGATAATTTCAGAGCTCTGGGGATCCCACAGAAGGAGGARATTAATCTTTAGGTCAATATATTCGCCTTGAGAATCTGAACCTTGGGGGTGCAGGCACACATGGATATTTTACCTGCAAGAGAAATCAAAATATGGGCAGGAATGTGTCCATGGYTGTTGGATTATGCACAATTCATTCCACAGTTAATAAGGAATACTTAGGGATAACATGGTATACTATATAATATACATATTTGCATGTATTTATATAAATTRTAAATTCAGATAAACTTGTTTTTATATAAATTAGAACTGTATATAATTATATATTTTTATATGCACATGTTACAATAATGGATTCATGCAATGTAAAAAAAAATTTAAAATATTGCAAGACTGCAAAAAAAGTATATGATTTCATGGGGTTCAGTTTGCTTTAGTGTCTAACAGGCAGCAAAGCACTCGGGGGAAGCAGCAGCAGCTTATCCTGGGAAACTTCAGCTTTGAATGCTCAAATTTGGGGTAATTTTCCCCAAAGCCCAGACCTGGGTATGGCTCTAAGTCAGTTATGAAATGAATCCTATAAAATACCGTATGTGAATAAATTAGAAACTTCCTTGTTAACAAACCTTTATGTATAAACACTGTACAACCTTTTTTTGTAGACTGGTCCTGGAGGGGCCAGTTTAAAGAGCAGAATGCAGTAATCTGTAATATTTTCCAACAATGCATCTTTTTGGTGATCCCAAAACCAGCAGTTTTGCAGCCTTAACAGCCTCAGTGATAACTATGATTTCCTGCTCTCTCCACAGCCGTGCGGTAAGGCCTTTTAGCCGGGATCCGATGGGAATTGCCGGTGGAATGCCTGTTTTTTTTATTTTTTTGATGGAAAAAGCGCGGGAAGGCTCCGGCGGGGCCGCTCTCGGGCACTGCGGGCCGGGCCCTGAGGGCGGGGGGAGCGCGGGCGGAGCCGCCGCCTCTGATTGGCCGRGCCGCTCTGGGGGCGTGGCCACAGCGGGACCGATCCACCTCTCGCCGGCGGGGGGKATAGAAGGCCCTCCCCGCTCAATGGTACAGCCCGAACCCGAGCCCTTTGGCCGGGCCGTTACCAGCGCCCGCGCGCGCTGAGGCAGGACCCATGGAGGGCTGTCCGCCGCTCTGCCTGATGCGGCGGAGGCCTGGCGGGGCCGATGGCGCCGTTGCGCCGGCGCCCAGCCGCCAGCGATCTCATTTCTAACCCCCGGCAGACTCCCCGCCGCCTCTCGGCATGGCTTTTCGCCGYCGGACTCCCCCGGCGGCGCGTTCGCTTTTCCGGCGTTCGCTCCGGGCGGCCGCCGGCGGGGCGGGGGGTTGCGGCGCGAGGCGGGGCGCGCGCGGGGCGGGGGGGTCCTCGCCGGCGCGCGGAAAAAAACGCGCCAAGTTCGCTGACGGTGTCCCCGCGGTCTCCATGGCAACGGCGAGCGGGAGCGGGGCCGGGATGTAGCGGTGAGTGAGGGGGAGCGGCCGCACCGCGGCCTCGGGCCCCGCCGGCCGCGGGGAACATGCGGGGGGCGCGGGGGGGCGGCCCGAGCCCGGGGCGGGGGGCGGCGGGTCCGCGCTCGGCCCCCTCGGGGAGTAAATGGCGCCTGGTGTGCGCGTGTGTGTGTGTGTGCGCGCCAGGTGTGAGCGCCCCGGCCGCGCCCCGCAGGAACCATGCCCGGCGTCCTGCCCGGCGACAGCGCCAGGGCCAGCCCCTCCAAGAAGAACCGGCTGTCGCTGAAGCTCTTTCAGAAGAAGGAGGCGAAGCGAGCGCTGGATTTCACCGAGGCGCAGGAAAATGAGCAGAAGGGCGCGGAGTTCAGAGGCGCCGAGATGTGAGTGCCGCGCGGGAGAAGTTTTTTTTTTGTGGCGATGTTGTGGCGGTCTCGTGGTGCTCCATCCTCCGCTCGTTTCGGTTTCGTGTTCTTGCATAAATAAGGTGCTGCAACACGCGCTAAATTAAATTAACGTGCACTTAAATTAAATTAACGTGCACTTACGTTGGATTAACCGTCGAGGCAACTTAATCAAACCGAACAAACTAATTACTATAACCAATTTCTGTAACTATTTTCAGAAAGCAACTTTGCCTCACGGGGGCTGTTTAGTTGGCAGAAACCGGCTCACTTGATGAAATTACTATTTCAAAACTAATTAATCGYTATAACCAATTTCTAGTAACTTTTTTGAGAAAATACTTTGAGAAAATAATTTTGCCGCGCTGGGGGTCTTTAGTTGGCACAAACTTTGGGATCACTTGAAAAAGTTCCTTTGTTTCAAGTTGATATAAGTAGTTAYTGTGTCACTGAACTATTTCTAATATTATTTATATAAAAAGTTATTTTCTGCAGAGTGAGTGAGCTTTAATGAAAATGTGTTGAATCTCAAAAGTTGTTTGTGCTGCAAGGGAAGGAATTGATTGTGGGRTTGGCTGTCATTCACTGGGGCTTTTCAGGCCCTGAGCAAATCTATCGACTCATTTCACTGCTGATGAGGGGATTCAAGTGGGAAAAAGAAAATTGTGGTCAGTTAAAAATAGTTGAAGACTTTCAGATTTGGTTCTGTTGTGTCAGTATGGTCTATTTATCGCTTCTATTGGTGATTAATATTAATGATAATCGGTATATAGTGTGTCAGGTTCACTGGTTTGGTTCTTTTTTAAACTTTTTTTTCTGGTKTTACRCTTTTTCTTTGCATCCAGAAATGATGTGACTCTGGAGCAAGGGGTAGTGATAGAAAATACATTCTAGGCACATTTTCCTGCCTTAGGAATGAACAAAGAACGTACAAAAGTATTCAAATGTTAAATTTTTAGTCCCTTAAATCAATCCCCTGATTATTTTAYGTGTTGAACTTAGAGCAGATTTGCCTCCTGTTTGAAACCTGTGTGGTTTTGGGTGGGTTGCTCAGGAGTTGGAGGTGAAGAGTCTGTGTTTGAGTGCCCAGAGCAAATCCAGACCCTCAGACACACTTGGAGACGATTTTGATCTGCATTTCTCAGTGCTGAGTTCTCAAGGAGTGTTTTTCCAAAGCTGTCTCTTACCCCGTTTCTCTGTTCCACAGTGACCAGGTGGTTCCTGCAGCACAGCCTCCCTCCCTGGTCTGCGAGAAAAAAGACAACATGTTGCCTTTTGTGGGCTTGAACAACCTGGGCAACACCTGCTACCTGAACAGTGTCCTGCAGGTGAGGCCATGCTCCAAAAAAGAGAGATTTTGGTTAAGCACAAGTGGGTGAAATCCATTTATTCTGGGTGCAGTATAAAGGGCATCTAATTACAGCGAGGAGAAAAGATGCTGCTGCAGGAAATGTGWGCACTGTGGTTGTCCTGATTGGGTAATTCTTCAGTTTCCACACTCGGGGCTCCTCCCTGCTGTGAAAAATCCTGGATCTTTGTGTGCTGTGCACAGCCTGGGGAGGTGCAGAGCTGTGGGGATTATAAATGTGCATTTATGTGTGGCATAACTTCTTACTCGAGTTATTCTCGTGTTTTCAACTGTTGCTTTCAGGTATTATATTTTTGTCCTGGTTTTAAAACTGGAGTAAAACATTTATATAACATCATTTCAAAGAAGAGAGAATCTTTGAAGGATGAAGGAGAACAAAAGGCAGAAAAGGTAACAAATCTCCACATGTTCTTTACTTGTAGCTTTGCAAGTGAGGCTGCCCTGAATCCAGTGAAAATTTAACTGATTTTTGTTCTTAAAAAGTTATTTAGCATTGTTTTCTACAGTGTTACTTCAGGTAAAAATGTAGTTTTGTTGCTTTGAACTTTAGCACAAGTTTTAAACTATAACACAAGAATTTTGAGAAAGATACCTGACCATGCTTCTGGCATTAAGATAATTATGATACAGTACCTGGAGTGGATGGAAATTTGAGTTTGGGCAAGGATGGTTTGATATTTTAAAATAATGGCTAATTGGGCTTTTTTTTACTTGAAAAAAACAAAATATTGTCTGAAACCCACCTGCTTCCCACAGGAGACAAAAAATTCAGTCAAGTATAGAAAACCAAGGGAGGAAGGAAAAAAAAGGTTAATTTGTGACAGATGCAACTGCTGCAAGTGTTTTTATTATTTTTCTATTGTTATTGCAGGGAAGTTGTAAAGAAGATCCCCTGGCAAGTTACGAACTCATCTGCAGTTTGCACTCCTTGATCCTGTCAGTGGAGCAGCTTCAAGCCAGTTTTCTCCTAAACCCAGAAAAATACACGGATGAATTGGCCACTCAGCCTCGGAGGCTGCTGAACACCCTCAGGTACAAATCCCCTTAAATGCTGACAGAATTTTGTCCTGACATTTCCAGGCCGTTAAATTGCACAGCTTYAGAGGCTGGTGGAACATAGATGGCCTTAAATTGGGGTGATCTTATAGGAAGTAAGATTTTTGTGCTTATTTTTACAACCACGATGTTGGAAAGTTGAAAATAAATTTGAATTTTGTAAGACTATAGTGCAGAAGGGGGCTTCAAACAATGCTTGGCCTTAGGTACTGAAGGGTTTCTGAATTTTAAAATGGTTTGGGCTGGAAGGGACCTTAAAGTTCATCCCATTCCACCTCCTGCCATGGGCAGGACCTTCCTCTGTCCCAGGCTGCTCCAAGCCCTGTCCAACCTGGCCTTGGACACTTCCAGGGGTGGGGAAAGATCCTCTTGGAGCATAAAGCTGAACCTTAAGTTGTCACAGCTCTGTGACAGAGAGGACTCCTCTCTCAGCTTGCAGAGAATGATCCATGACTTCTAAATCCCTCATTCCAGTCTCAAATGATGTTCCCCYATTAGCAAAGGATAACAAACCCTCATTCTCTGCTCTTTCCCTTTGCACAGAGAGCTGAACCCCATGTACGAGGGGTACCTGCAGCAYGATGCCCAGGAAGTGCTGCAGTGTATCCTGGGGAACATCCAGGAAACCTGCCAGCTCTTGAAGAAAGAAGAGCTGAACAAACTGCCCGTGGAAGAACCTGCAGCTAAACTGGAGGCAAAACCCAACCAAAATTCTGAGAGCAACGGCTCTGCCAGCCCTGCTGAGGAGGAGGATCCCACCTTGGGCAGCCACGGYGGAGACGCGGCCGAGGAGAAGCTGCTCAAGGGAAATGGGAAAAGGAAAAGTGATGCTGAGGGTGGCAACGCCAAGAAAAAATCCAAAGTAACAAAAGAGCAAATTGTGGCGGAAGAAAATCAAAGACAAACCAGRTCTAAGAGGAAAGCCACGGGAGAAAAGTTGGAGAACCAAACKGATGCCATTGCCAAGTGTTCCGGGGAGGGCGAGAGCGTGAAGCCCACACAGAAAAAATCGCGGCTTAGGTTAAACTGGTTAAAATCTTCCTGCAAACAGCCCAGTATTCTGTCCAAATTTTATAGTCTAGGGAAGTTAACTACAAACTTGGGATCCAAAGACCCAGGGAAAGAATATGACTGTGAGCTCGAAGAATCGGCTGTCAAGTGCGAAAATGGTGACAGTAAAGAAGAATATCATGAACCAGCATCTCCYGTGGAAAGCCATCATGGAAATGGAACTGAAAAAGAACCAAAAAAGGAAGGTTGGTGCACAAGTGGATGGGCTTAAAATTAGTAGGATTAAGAAAGTACAATGCGTGGGAAGTCAGCCTTCAGACGGCACAGCCTGCAGAGCTCTAAACACAAAATTAGATTTTTCAGGAATTGAAGATGATTTTTAGGAAAGAGAATTTATTTTTATACATGTTTGTAATTTTTTTCTTTTAGAACTTGACCTGTTTAGCTTAGATCTCGAGGTGTTTCTCTGACATTCTGTAATCATTGTACAATATGTATAAAAAAGGCAGAATATTACCAGGTTTGTATTACCATTGCTTTTTGTCATCCATAGAAAGAGCAAGTGGATCCAAGATGGAAAGGAATATTTCTGTCAGGAGCAAACAGAATCAAACCCCATTGGCTTTTTCCTTCCCAGTTCCGTAGGCTTTCCATATTCCTGACCTTCCGAAGAACTAGGAAGGACTCAGGATATATTAAATATCTAATCTATTTAGATCTAATAGATCTAATTAAATCTAGACCTATTAGAAATGCTAATTGGCTGGCAGGCCTGGATTTTGTTTATGTCAATGACCCCGTTGAGGTAAAGGGCTTCAGTTTGATTCCAGTACTTACGAATTTGGAACTTTCCACCCACCAATTTTTATAAAAAAAAAAAAAATTATAAAAAATTGGAAGGAATGAAGAATTTTTTGAGTTGTGTATTTCTTCTGCAGATTTGACCAAAACTGGCCAATAAATTTAGAAAGAGGAGAGGACTAAGAATAGAAAGGAGGCAAACACATGGTGTGATGCTCTTTGAGGATGCCAATGGTCCATGCTCAGGAGTCAGTCCATTGATTGCAACCCAGATTGTGACACTGACACACTTAAAGTATAAAACAAGAGCCCAATCTTAGAACAGAAATTAAACTTTGAGGGCCAAGAGACARAGGGGTCTTATTTACTTAMAAGTAGAAAATACTGTGAGAACTGYACRTGGTTTGTTTTGGTTTTTAATTCTTATCTGAGGTCCCTAAAAGGCCATGGCTGTAACAGTGATTTTCCAAGGATAACCAGGTTCTAAAGTGGGAATAAAGAGCATTTCACTCAGGGATGTGCCCTGTACTTTCCCCAGGTACTGAGCTGGCAATCTTCGAGCTGGTGGAGAAACTCTTCCAGGGCCAGTTAGTGCTGAGGACAAGGTGCTTGGAGTGCGAATGCTTCACRGAAAGGAGGGAAGATTTTCAGGACATCAGTGTCCCAGTGCAAGAAGATGAACTTTCTAAAGCTGAGGAGAGTTCTGAAAGTAAGTAATTACCTGCACAAGGGTTGTGAGGTGTGTTCCTGCCTCAGCCAGCCGGGGAAGGATAATGCTGTAGTTGTGAAGGAACACGGCTTCTGTTTGTGCTGGCTAAAATTAGAGGCTGTTATCTCCTGTCCTGATTAACTTTAGACTTTGGAAACACAGTGCTGATAATGTTGACAGATTTAGATAATATTCAAATTGTTCCAGATCTTAACACATAGCATGGACTGCCTACAATCCTTCACTTAGGCACCTGYTTTCCTGTTTATGAGCAGGTATTTTCTTTGATTTTTGTCTTCCCTTTCTTCCTCGATAAGAAATTCTGGTTTTTCTTCATTTTATAAGAAATATTTCTATTTTTTCCTTAAAAAAACAAGAATCCAGCTTTTTTTTTTTTTTTTCTTAAGTATTCTAAAAAATAAAGTGTCAGTATTTTAAATTGCTGTTACCTTAATAGCATTTGTATTATGTTTGTACATGTTAATCCTGTGGTCTCTTTCACAATTTTCATTGATTCATATGCAGTTTTTTTTAGCTGTTTTCAAAAGTAAGCGTGGCAAAAATACATTTTGAAATTCGGAATTTTAAGGGAATAATTTTAGTTTCCACAGACTTAATTTGGAGCAGCTTTTCCTGTTTTTACTCCCCATTTTGCTGAAGGATTCAGAGGAAAATGTGTGGGGTGATGTTCATATGTGAAGYGCTGCCGACAGCGGGTGATCCTGTCAGCAATGTGAGGGTGGCAGGGGAGGCAAAATGCAAGAAGTGCAAGGGAACTTTCTGGTTATTTTGGGGCTTTGCCTTAATAAGTGAAATTCTGGACTCATAGAAGCTCTCAGTTTCCAGACATGGCAACAAAATGGTGTGATCCAAAAGAAGCTTTGGAAAAATCCCCATTTTGAGTAATAATACCCATTAAGTGACGCTTTCATCCCTTCCTGAAATGCTCCAAAGATGGAAATACATCACACATTTCACACATACTGAGTGTTCTTTGCAGTGGTCTGAACTTGACATATTTTGTCGTGTTGCTCTTCTGGCGGGATGTATCGGAAATGTAAATATTGGCAGATCTGTGAATGCAGCAATTCTCTTTTTTTAGTTTCTCCAGAGCCAAAAACAGAAATGAAGACTCTGAAATGGGCAATTTCCCAGTTTGCCTCAGTGGAGAGGATTGTGGGAGAGGACAAATATTTCTGTGAGAACTGCCACCACTACACGGAAGCCGAGCGCAGCCTTTTGTTCGATAAAATGCCCGAAGTGATCACAATTCACTTGAAGTGCTTTGCTGCCAGTGGCTTGGAGTGAGTATGCATTACCTGCCTTACAAAACGGTCCTGCAGCAAGGGAAATCTTACCTCAAGAGCTGGAAATGCTTTTTTTGTGATTTTTTCCAAAAGGTTTCCCAGATTGGAATTAATTTAAATCACTGGGATGCAGCCCCTAATTCCAAAAAGGCTTTGTGTTGTTACAGGTAGTGGCAGAAATTACCTTCAGAAAATGTGACTTTCAGGAGATTTTTTAACAAAAATGTTTTAGCTGATCTCTTACACCAGCCTGATATCCTGATGGTTCTTAAAACTTTATTTGCTTTAAATATCACCTGTCCCTGTGAGTTAACAGGACGCTTTAAGTGCTTTGCCAGGACAAATAATGAGAACAAATCTGCATTTCATGGTCTGAGCTTGTCTCTGAATTAGAGTACTAAAAAAATGAATGTGAGTGGGGAAAAAAAATCACGAGATAAACACTTTAAAGAGCCAACACTCATTACCCCAAAATTAACCAATTCCTTAAAAAATACTATGGTTTCTACCTGAATGTGAATACTAAAATTTGTCGGGGGAAAAATCAGGAGAAAAACATTTTAAAGAGCTAATAGAGTAAAAAATTGATCAGTTACTATAAAAATACAATAGSAGCATCATTGAGCAGTCAGTTTGATTTTATAATTGTAGCAATCCTTTGGTTTTGACAGAAGTTGTTAGAGTGTTCTTTATTTTTTTCATACATAAGAATTTAGGGGTTTTCTTTGGGATGGAAGGAAACAAAGATCCATCCCTACAGTAGTGCACAGGAATRTCCAGGTTTCTGACAAAGTAAAAAGGAAATTCCCTCTTTCTCTGCAATGTTTTTCCATGTAAGTCCTGGGTTATAAAATATAAAAACAAGTCTTTTCATTGATYTCTGCAATATTTACTTAAATATTCATCTTGCACAAAACCCTGTCAGTGCTGAGAGTAGTAACAAACTCTTTTATTGGCTATAAATTTTTTTAAGACAATAATCTTCAGACAACTTTTAGCTCCCACAAAAGTTTGGAAATCTGGTCTGCTCTACAGAGTTCTCTGGTGACCAAATTGTGAATAAATGAGAAATGAAGGGTAATGTAAATATTTGCACTTAATAGGGATTTTATTCATCTTTTCCGGATGCWGCTTTGCAAAGTGTTTTGTTTGAAAATAAAGCAGCTAGTGTGACAAACTCCTTGCTGGGGAGGAGTAATTCTTTTTGGCAAKTGTGTGTGGGGAAAAATGCCCAGCCATGTGTGAGCAGGCTGTTAAGCTGTTTAGAAGGAATTTGTAACTGGTAACATGTAATTAAGTATTTCCACGGTAGAAATTTAGCAATTTGTGAGAAAATCAGCTTTTTGTCGTGTGAAATTCAGTACAGTGGGTAAAATGTCACTAATTCATGGTCTCAAAAGATGTGACTGCAGAGGTCAGGTTTGCTGTGTTTGAAGTTCAGCAGTCAGAGGAGGCAGAGTACTTGGCCTGCAGCTTTTCTSTCTTCAGATTCTTATCATTAAGAAGAACAAAAAGCTATTAGGAAAAGATTTCCTCTCTTCTTTCCTCCTCTCCAAATCTTTGTGATGCTGGATGTCATTGAGAAGAAAGGTAGAGCCTKCATTTTCCTGTTTCCTGTGAATTTGATTGTCCCAGTTTGTTTGAGTGGAACTGGATTTCTAAKCCAGAGTATCAGCCACTAAAAGACTCTCCTCTGAATATCTCCATTTCTGGCTGCTAACAATAGGGATTTTCAGAAGATTTAAGTTTTGTTATTTCTGATTCTGTGCTCTTCTGTGTCCCTTTTGGTGGAGTCAAATGAGTAAGGCAAGAGAGGTCGGAAATAAGAGAGGTCTGAAGAGAGATTTCACTTAATTGAAGCCACTGAGGATCTGTGTGTGTCACTGTATTTATTTCTGTGTCTCAGGGTTTATGGCTCTGAACAGGAGTGAAGCAGAATCAAAATTAAATCCAGGAAAACAATAATCTGTTAGTGCAGCTGTGCCATAGCTGCATTTCCTTGGATTATTCTTTCCTAGAATGAGAGCAGCAAGCTCTCTTTGCAAGCTCAGTTTTACAGGGCTTGTCGTATTCCCCAGTATTTTTCCCTCCACCACCCTCACAGTTGAGTAAGACTGAGTCATCCCTGGAATTTATTAGGCCATCACAGCCTATTGTTAAACAAAGGGGTTAATGGATTTGGGCTGATGCAATGTGTAAGTCATCAAGATTGGAATCACTCAAGGAGGCTGATGCACCATCATGAAATCCCAACACTGACTTTCTTTTCAAACTCTAGAAAGATCCTTGTAAATGATCCTTGTAAACTTTTCTCCTGGTAAATTTGTGTGCTGTGAACAAAACACCGGATATTTATGGAATCCTAGAGGCTTTTCCGAAGTAAATCAGTTAGAGAATTGTTTGGAAAAATGGAATACCATAGCACATTTAGTGAAGAATCCCTGGTGAACACCCACTGCTACAGTGCACTGAGCTGAGGAAAATTAGTCACMTTCTCTGAGTGATATTAAAGCTACTTGAAAGTAAAATAAGTTACCCTTTATTGAGTAAAGTACTCTTTCAGGAGGGGGAAAAAGTCCCCCCAACCCTGCTTAGTTCAGTCTCAGCTGTTGAAGAGGTTTTTGGTTTGTTTTTAAACCAATGGTGACAGAGAGAAGGGGGTGTTTGTGCAGAGATAGAAGCATGAATGATAATCAGCTGAACTTTTATCATCACTCTTTAAAAATTACCTTTAGCTCATACTTTAGAAAAAGGGAATCTCTTAAATAGTTCAAATTGACAGTTTCTGGGCTGTAAGATTAATTCTACAGTCATAAAACTGTTTTTCCTGCCCAGGGCTGCCTTGATTGCTGCTGCTGCTCCAGGGGGACAGTTCCCATCACTTTTTGAGGATGTGGCTCCACCTCTGGAGCACCTCGGGTGGTGTTTTTGGGGAGCTGCTGTGGCACAGGGTGTAACTGTGTGTCCTTGGCAGGTTTGACTGCTAYGGGGGCCTGTCCAAGATCAACACCCCGCTGCTGACCCCGCTGCGGCTGTCCCTGGAGGAGTGGAGCACCCGGCCCACCAACGACACCTACGGCCTCTTCGCCGTGGTCATGCACAGCGGCATCACCATCAGCAGTGGCCACTACACGGCCTCGGTGAAGATCACAGACCTGCACAGCCTGGAGYTGGACAGGGGCATCTTCCTCCCCGAGCCCGGCTACGCCGCGCTAAAGCCGGAGCCGCTGACCGAGGAGGAGGCGCGGGCCGTGGCCGAGGACTACGATGATGGAGAGGTCTCGTTCCGGCTCAGCGGCTCCGCGCCGCCGGGGAAGGTCCTCAGCAAGAAGAACATGGAGGCCGTGGGACTGCTCGGGGGGCAGAAGAGCAAGTCTGACTGTGACCTGTAYGCCAGCAAACAGCCCAACCCCGAGAAGCTGCTGAGCGTGGCTCCCGAGCCGCGGAGCGCGGAGCCCGGCGGCAGCGCGGAGCCGCGGGTGGAGCAGGGTGAGACCCCGGGGCTGGCGGCCAACGGACTGGAAAACAAAGCTCTCTACGTGCTCCAGAGCCTCAAGGAGTACGAGGGCAAGTGGCTGCTCTTCGATGATTCCGAAGTGAAGGTCACAGAGGAAAAGGACTTTCTGAATTCTCTTTCWCCGACATCGTCATCGACATCGACTCCTTACCTACTGTTTTATAAGAAAATTGTAGAGTGATACTGTACTTGGACTGTAAATATTCGGGATTTGCATACACCTCTTGGTCTGATTTGCATCCAAACTACCTGGAAGAAAYGGCTGTTTGTTTTTTGAAGCTACTGATTCTTCATGTTTCTGGCATTTTTTCCTTCCGTGTAAAGTGGCTCAACTTGAATTAAAAAAACCTGACATAGGACTTGACTCACACCATAACTTTTCTGCTGGAGAATAGTGCTATGACCTTTTAGAAATACCAGTTTGTATAGATCCTAAACGATGCCTACAGCACCCAGTAGTGGTTTTATTGCAGCTCTAGGTTTCAGACATGCCTATTGTATTATTAGCTTTTATTTTTTGTTTGTTTTTTCTTTTTTTTTTTTTTTTTTTAAAAGTTTTTTTTTTTTTTACCCTGGAGTAAATGTATATTAACTAGCAAATTCCATCAGAAGTTGTGTATTTTTGTAACTTGGGAAGTAACACTTCATATTTAGTCTTTGGGTAATGGATGTGGTTTATTCTCCTGCTCCAGTTCTTTCCTGTTCCTTGCAGCACAAGGAAAAGGGTCTTGGAACCTTGTCCACTGCATTGGAGGGAGCTAAAATTCATGGAAGTTTTTGACTGGTCAAATTTGCWTCTTGGTGCATAGGTGTTAATGGGCAAAGTGTAAATAAGTGTGATTAATACTCCAAAACAGGGGCAGAGTGTAGTRTAATTAAAATAATTTTGTACTTTTGAAGAGTGAAGCCCTCTAATCTGCATATCTGTTTGGGGGAGGTTGGGAGTTTAAGGGTGACCTTTTGCCAGTTCATTTGTACCTGGAGCTCACAGAAATGTGGAGAAAAAGGAGAGTGTTTGGCTTTGATGCTTTGTTAAGAATGTATATATGAAATAAAAAAGTTCCCATACGCATCTGAGACAAGCACATCAGCCTGTTGTGTTTGGAGAGGGGAAAGCAGAAAGGAGAAGGGGGTGGGGAACAGTTACAAAAAGGTTGGGAAATGATCTTGAAACAGAGGATTTTAAGTGCTTTCAAAATAATATTCTGGGGYTTTTAGCTGATTCTTACAGCATCCCCCAGTTTGAAGGCACTTTGACTACAGTCATGAGGTTCAGGGGAAACATTGCAAAACCAAAAACATTTGTGCTAAATACTAAGAGATGAAAATCCCAAATTGTCTGTCAGACARTTGAAGGTGACTCCTGTAAACTGGTAATTAAAAGTGTAACCAATATGATACAAAACTGGAATTGTTCATATCTGTCACAGGATGGATGCAGTGACAAGAAGGGCTGCAAGCTGTGAGTATGCCCTGGGTACATTTAACTTTTTTCCACTACAAATTAATTTATTTACAGGAAAAGCCCTGAAAACCTTTGCCTAGTTAATTCTGCAATACTTAGTTTTTACTATCTTTTATTRTAATGTTGTATAAACACTGAGGTAAATCAGGAAAAATATCTTTTAGTGTATTTTTCATGTTAGGTTTGACCTTTGTTGTACAGGCCTTAATTTTGAAGCATAAAAAATCTGGAATGACAAAATACACTTTCCCTTTTCCAAAGCATTGCACCATAATAATAAATAATTGCAGAGTCTAAACCAAGAAATAGCTACATTACAAAAATATCAGTAATCTTACCTTGCAGGGGCAGCCCAATCCCATTACAGAATGCAATTTTTTTTAGGATTTGCTGAATTTCAGCCTGCAAATGAAAGTTTATTTTTCCACACCTGGYGCAAGACTTTATCTTTTTCATTCAACTGCAAGATCAGGAATGTTCCAAGGAARCAAAACACYGTTATATTCACCAAAATAGGATGGAAGGRTGACCCAGCTGCCTTCCATCATCCCAGTGCAGCTTGGGAGGAGATTCTTTGGGCAGCTGAACTGAAAACAGACTCAGCTGGAAGATGCTGAATGAAAAGCCCTCCTCTGGCACAGGGAGAGGGATTGGGGTGGGTCTTTGGGATATTTACTCAAGCACCACTTGCCACCCCCTCAACTCTTTGCTTTTGACTCCTGTCTTGGAGCAGAACTGCTGTAAATTAAAGTTTCATCCTTTCATGGCTACTGGGATTTGCTTGCCCTTTTTCACTGTGTAAATATTTTTAATGCCTCTTCCTGTAACTCTCTTCCAAAGCCATTCYCTCCTTCCTTAAAATTTTCCATTATGAGATTCTCTGATTCTTGTAGCACTTCCAAGGCCTTGTCAACACCCCTGGGTTTTGCAAGAGGCCTTTGAATATCTACAAAAAAAAAAAAGTTGGAGTTTATTGCAGCAAACTCYATGCAGGTGTTCCCATGACACAGAACTGATTCAGGATTATTCTGTTCCAGGGAAACAGGCAGAGTCTGGCACAAAAAACATCACCACTGTGGAGCTCTGGGATAACAGAGCATGGGAGAAGTCTCCAGTAACCTAAAATAAGTATCAGGAATTAAAAAAAAAAACAACCCTCCCCACCCTAAACCCTCAGCAATGCTGCAGAAGGGTGGGCATTTCATGTATATAGCAATTTTTCCTTCTGTTTTTATACCTGTATAAACAATACGTTTATCAAATTCAGGTTTTGTGTGTGTGTCTGCACTTTCATGCATATTTAGGTATTTATGGAGAGAGAATGAGTTTGTATTCAATCACATCCCACCTCTTACAAGGGACTTTGTTCACCACAGAGAGAAAAACATTAAGGACTGGATTTAGGAGTGGACTCAGCTCCAAATCTGATCCTTCCTCCAAGTGCTGTGTCAGACCCCAAAGTATCTCCTGCAAAACACATTTTGCTTCCCATAAACAGCAATGCACAGAAAGCTTTCTATGTATCCTTTTAAACTGTGGTACCTTTTAGGTACTTTTCCCCGTGAAAACAGGCTTTAAATTAAAAAAGGGACATAAAACCAGCTTGGTTTCATGGACTCTGCTGATTCCAAGGGATGAGGAGATGCTGGGAGTGCCCAGCAGGTGGAAATGGCCATGGATTCACAAAGTGAAGCTGAAATTTCACCCCATGGACTTCAGAAGGGACCAAGCTGTGCCTTCCTTCAGCCTGGTTGCAGCTGGAATTATTTTTCTTTGCAGCAAAATTGGGATAACAAACAATCACCACTTGATTAAAAAGTGTTACCATGACTTACCTTGCTCTGAACCTTTTCCCCAAGGATGCTGAGCTCGGAAGTCCAACGCACAGGGAATTAAAGTGTAAACATTCACATATTTAATAGTACCATCAAAATAACCATCATCATCATCAGCATCACTACATTAAAAACTTCCAAAATGCATTTTGCGTATGGTCCTAATATAAATTAAATATAGGAACTAAAAGTAAATAAATTTAACATTAGGTAATGCTATAAATAAAGGTAAATGCGTTTAGTGTACCTTTGAGTCATAAAAATGCCTTAAAAAACAGTTAAGTTTACAGCTCATCACCAATACTCTGGATACCACTGCCATGATTTTTTTTTTCCAAACATTGAGAAGTCTACATTTGACAATTCAGAATGATTTTTTTTGGCCACTGAACACTTTGATGGAGGAAGAGGTGTGTGGGATGTCCAGGATGAAGTCCAAGTTTTATTTCAAAATAAAACTTCTTTGATTCCCAGCGCTGATAACAAGGCTCTTTTTCTTTTCAAAACCTTAACTTTTTAAGTGCTTTTTTTTTTTTTTATTTTGGTTTTTAACTCGTTTAGATTTCCATTTTGCGAAGGCTCATCCTGCTGAAGGAGTCTCTGAGGGAGAGAAAATACAATGATGAGCTCAGATTTTCCATGGTGAAATAAGAAGCCTCACCAGATGAACGATTCTGAATTGATTTCCAGTATTTCCTAGAGCTGGTTACTACAAAAATTAAGTCCACTGGCATTAACTCGTTGCTTTTCCAATGAATTTGGTTTGGGTTTTTATCTGGCATCATCCAACTGCCCACAAAACTGACAAAAGWTTAATTCCTGTGTACACAGAGAAGCAGCACAAACCATCTGCACAACTGAAATCTTATTTAAATCTTTCAAATACAACCCTAAAGTGGAATTTGCCAGGAATACTYTGAGTTGGACTCGATGATCCTTGTGGGCCCCTTCTAACTGAGGATATTGTGTGATTTTCAGGATATTTTATGTCATACCTGTATTAGGGGTGTCATACAGGAAGATTGGATAATAATCAACCCAMCAAAAGCACTTGTAATGTTCCTGGCTGGGTGGGGAGGGAAACACGGCTGTTCCCACCATCCCAGCCAGGAAAATTTGCCAGGGAACAGCTGGGAAATGATGGTGAGAGCATCCCAAACTCGGGCAGGGAGGGAATGGCACCAGAAACCACAGCAGCTCAGCTCCAGAAACATCCAGCTGTGCCCTGCTGCCACAGAACTCCAAATCAAAGATTCCATGGAGGGTTCCTGCTGGGAACCATTCCTGTCCCTGTTCTGGGAGCCAGAATCCCAAAAAATCCCCCTGCTCAGACACAACCTGCCCTGGAATTTTTCAAGGCCAGGCTGGAGCACCTTGCCCACGGCAGGGAGTGGGAATGGATGATGTTTCAGTTCTSTCCATCCCAAACCCTTCTGTGATCCTGTGATTCCCACTGGGGTTTTTATGTCCTGTCTTCCAGCATGGAAGATCCCAACTATTTTTTCCCCCAAAATAAACCAGTGTCAAAGTCCTGCCATGCTGAAGGGTGGGTTTGCATCTAAAAACAATGGGATGCAGGATGGAAACAAATAAAAAAAAAACAACTGTCATAGCTGAGGAACAAAAGGAACGCTGCAAACACCACCGACCACAGCTGCTGGGAAGGGAATGTGCTCTCAGGAGTACAGAAGGGATGGGCTGGGCCAAAAGAGCCAGGATTGAATGGAGAGGACTCCCAAACACTCACCTGTGGCACGTGACRGGCAGCACTGCCTTGTAGAGCTGGGGGATCTTCCTGTTGATCAGGGGCTGCAGAGCCTCCTTGAGCCGGTGGTAATTCCGCTCCAGCTCTCGCTGATATTCCTTCTGGTCWGGCCCAATCAGGCTCTTGTTCTTCCTCAGGGCATCCTCACAYCTGCAAAACAAACCCTGTGAGCCCTGGGCACACAGAAAGAGCCCCTTCCTACCTTCCAACAATATAAAAAATCCATTCTGCCCCTCTATTTTGCTCAGCCGAAGCACCTGGAGTGCAGGGAACAAGGAGAAGGTGTCACATCTCCAATTTCCATTTCACTTCCAGAGTAATGCCTGCCTTCACTTCCTTTTTTATTGTCATTTACTCTCCAGTTAATGTTTATCCTCTCTGAATAGAGATGAAAAGCCCATCTCCACAGAGCCAGTCCCAGTGGATTTAAAGATGGACAGAATCAGGAAAGATTATTTAATAAACAGCAGACTGGGATATGTC